CAAGCTGCATCTTTAAGATACAGTGGGCTGAGCTGAACCTTTAAAGTTTTCGTAAGATTGCTTTTTTCCTCTCACATCTTATTTCTGATGTTACTTTTTTTCTTTTAATCTTAAGACCATACTCTGTTTTCAAACCCAAAGTGCTCAACATTTTTAGAGCCATCAAAAAAAGGTCACCTACCATGTACTGTCCTCAAACTACCCAAATATCCACCAACAAAATGGATAAAGAAACTGGGCATATTCATTCACAGAAATAAAAAGACCTACTGCTACTCACATCAATTTGTATGTATCACATGACATTATACTGAGCTAAAGATGACCAGAAAACTTATATTCTGTTGTATTTAAATGCAGTCCAAGAACAGTTTAAAACTAACCCATGACAACGGAGGTCGGAATAATGGTTATCCTGGGGGCGAAGATGATGACTATAGAGAGAGGCTGGTAATGTTCTGTTTCTTGATTTGGATGCTTGATTTGGATGCTGGTTGCTCAGAGGTGACCATTTTGTGCTGTTCATTCCTGATCTGTGCATTTGTCTGGTTGTGTATAATAATTCAATAACAATAACAAGTTCAAAGAAATAAAGCTACAGGGACCAACAAAAAAAAAGTCATCTACTGAAACTGCACACACAAGTGCTACTACCTGTGGGGAGAAAAATCAATTATATTTTATTTAACCCAATCAGAGAGAAAAACTTGAAAAGCTAAGTGAGAAACTTAATTACATTTCTTAAAATATGCACCAAGAAATTGCTTAATTTTTAAAAATGATTTGCTTCCTCACATGACACTGTGGCTATAAATTAATGCAAAACATTATTTTTCCCTCTGTCTTCATATACCAGTAAAACATTATTACTCAAAGTTCTATAAAACATATACAAAGGCAATGTTGTTGGAAAACATCTGAAAACACCCCAAGAGGATCCATTTGGAATGTGAGGGTCTAAACAGATACTTGGTCAGAATTACCCCAATTGTCAGCACATTAATGCAATGACCTGGAATAACGACCAGATCTTTACCTAGTTTCATGCTGTATTGATTTAACTTTGCTAGGTAAGGCCACATAGGTGGGAAGGCCATTCAAGAAAATGCTATACTGGCTGGGCACAGTGGCTCACGCCTGTAATCCCAGCACTTTGGGAGGGCCATGTGGGCGGATCACAAGGTCAGGAGCTCAAGATCAGTCTGGCCAACATGGTGAAACCTCATCTCTACTAAAAATACCAAAATTAGCTGGGCGAGGTGGCAGGTGCCTATAATCCCAGCTACTCGGGAGGCTGAGGCAGGAGAATCTTTTGAACCTGGGAGGCAGAGGTTGCAGTGAGCCCAAGATTATGCCATTGCACTCAAGCCTGGGTGACAGGGTAAGACCTCTCATCTCAAAAAAAAAAAGAAAAAAAAAAACTATGCTACAGACAACTCCACGGAAGCTCTGAAAAAACACTGCCTTCTCGTTGGGACTGTATTTGGTTCATCTATGAATTGTTTCAGCACATTTTTCTCTTCTTGAAGTAATACAATCAGCTGACAAATCAATGATTTCTTTACCCTTCTCACTGTTCTGTAATTCATCTTTGATCAACATGGTATATATACTGCATGATTGCTCCATTCCATTTGATACATATAAAAAATGATAGTACACAAACTTGCATCAGAAGTAATTATACCACTCAATTACATAAGAAAATGAGAAGTACAGATTGCTTGTTTTTACCTAAAACTTCGTAATAACTTCAGCCATTACTGCTGTAGAGCCTTCTTTGGTCCCACAGCATGGGAGGCAGGCAGGTACTAGTAGTTTCTTCAAATGTTGGGGAACTAATTAAATGTCTGTAGAATCATTACTACTTAAACAAAAAATGTTTCCGGTCTTTGAAATGGGAAGTGGCTTTTGGAGTGATGGGATACAGTTATATGCATCCAGTCCCTACACATTATTTAACACCAAACTAGTGATTCAACACTAAGACAGGCAAAGTTTCCAGGATACATATCAATTAGCAGTCCTATTTCATGTTGTATACAGACCTTATAGGGCACCTTAATTCTAATCATTCTAATCCTTGTTTTTCAGATAAAAAGACCTATTCTTTAATCTATACTTCTAAACAATAAGTTCTCTCTACTTTGGCCTTGTTTTAAATACTTACCCTTCTTAGTTTAAATTTTCCTTCCAATTCAGTGTCCAGTATTCTACTTCCTCCTTCCTCTCAAATTATCCCTTTAACTTGTTTCTATTTATTTCTAAAGGCCCCCAGAGCCTCTTCCTCAGGATAATGTGCAGTTCAGAAAGCCTTCTTAAACTAAGTTTAACCACAGAGGCCAACAATAACATTTTTCCTGTTTGGGTTTTAGGGAACATACATTATAACTGAAATTTCACTACTCACAAAACTCCTTTGCTAAATCTTTCCCATTCCCCTCTCCTAACTCTCCACTATTTTGTACACAATCACAACATAAGCACACTCCCAAAATGTGTAATGATATAATCATATAAACACTTCCTAAAAACACAATTTTAATGTGTGCAACAAACAGCCATTATAACTCTAGTACTGGGAGTACACGTTTAGAAATATACTTTTTAATAACTTGTGTTTGTTGTTTCTTTTTGGGGGCGGGGAGGAGGTAGAGGGTCATCACACAAGGACCAACTGCTATACCTGAAACCACAAACTACATTACAGTGGGATACTATTGAGAGTTGTAAACACACTTAAAACTTTTTTTTTTTTTGCTTTAAAAAAAGAAAGTTGAAATTGCAAAAAAGCCAAAGCTTCTATGCTTTACCCACAAGGATACACACACTAAATACCTCCGGTTTTCCCACTTAGAAATGAAATATGCTTCATCCACCAAACTAGGGCATTTATGAGGTTTGTATTAATGAACAGAAAGAAGACAACTCTGCACAAATGCAAAAAAAGTTCTATCCTTTAGAAGACTTAATATTAAAACGACTTTAGGGAAAGCCCAAGATATTTTGTTCTCAACTCAGAAAACTACCTAAGGGATAATTTGTGAATGCCATCTGGGATCCAGGCAGTTCCATCGACAAAAGGGAAAACTTGTTGAGATCATCCAAATCTAAAATTCACATACATTTCTACATCTGGACTGAATTAATCTTTTCTTGGTACTGGCTTTCATGTAATAAAATAATTGTTTGCAGGTTTAAAAAAAAAAAACCCACATCTTTAGAAATCAAAATGTACAGCATCCAAGTCAATAACTACAAAGAATTCCTTTATCAAAAAAGTTAGTTGTGAGACAGGACTCATTTACACTCAGCTTGGAATCTGACAGCTCAGTCAAAAACAATTCTATCTGAAATTTTCATTTCAAGCAACTGCCACAAAAGGCTACGCAATCTATTACGTCATAAATTCAGAAAGCCAAAAGCTTTATAGGTTTAATTAAACGTGGAAACAAAATCCAAAAACTAAAAAAAAAGACCCTCCCTCCCAATTCAGCTAACCTACTTAACGATTTTCTAAGGAATTTGTAGCTAAAAACTGTTAACTAGCACATTGGCATTTTGCTTTCAAAAGTTGTGTCTTCACCCAGGCCCATGTTGTTTTCAGGCGTTTTCCTGAAGAGCCAGGGCATCTTAAATCTGTAAGTTCAAATTATGTACTTAAAACTAGCAGCTTACCCTTGTTGCCCCCAAAAAGGAGGTACTGGAAATAGAAAAAGATTTCCTGCCCCTTAAAATGTCTTGAGTACTGCAAGAACTGCTGGTTACTGTAGCCCATCAGTGTCAGATCTCAGAGATTCTTGCAAGCAACTCAAAGGGGGGAAAATTAGTTCATATTACAGTCAGTCTGCTTTCTGGAGAAGATGTCCTGCAGATAACTTGATATTAGATATCCCCTGGGGGACCGTTTTCATTTAATAATCCTACTAAAGGTCCATTTTAATATGAAATGTGAATCCAATATATTTACAAACATACTGGGAAAAGAATTCAAATGCCAGCTGTCTCATACTGTGAAGTATTTTCATTTTTAACATAAAATGTTTATTTCTCAAAGCCACACCCAAGAAAATGATTAGGTGCTGTTAAGTTTTATACTACAAAGGACATCAGCAAAGGCATCTGTTTTCCTGCCTCTCTTCTAGTCTTCTCCCCTCCCCCACTCTCCATCCTGCAGGCCATTTGTAGGACCCGGTTGTTAAATTTCTACAATAGTCTCTCAATGCTCTAAATTCTAAAAAAGTTCTTATCCTTGAACACTGCTAAACCTAAATTCATGCACAGCTCTAAGAAGTAAACCCAAAAGGCACAAGCCTTTTTAATGACAGATGTATCACGGAAAATTTTCCCCACAAAGTTTTGATGCCGTGAAATAGCAACTCCCTGAAATCACAGAAAGGAAATGACTTACATTCTTGGAAAATGAAGCCACTAGCAGCTTTCTCCAACAGCATTTTCTAAACCCCAAACTACACCCTGTGGCAAGAGGGAGTATTTATCGCAAAAACTACATTTAAATAGATGCTTATACAACCAATAAACAAACATTGCCCGGTCCCAGAGAAGAAGGGAAGGGAATCATACCCGGAAAACCCAGCGAGATACTTTTTCTCCACATTTAGAAATGCTGGAGAGCACAGGCTGGGAGTCAGAAGCAACCTGAGAACCCTAGCAGAAGTTTTCCTTCCCTGCTGTGAGCAATGCACAGCTCCTGAGGGAAACACTGGCAAAACAGATTTTGCTAAAAAAATAAAATTGAAAGGGGTGTAAGGGGGAAAACAAGCGAATATTTCTCTGGAAACTAGCTACACAACTGCACGGCCTGAAATCTGCCAGCTTTCATTTCAACTTTAAAATATGCTTATTTTGACAGTTTCCCATCTATTCATGCCTTTAAGAAAACGTCCGCACCATTAGGTTATGCTGTCCCAGGACTCGAGGTGTTGCTGCAATTCCTGTAGACTTTACACTTACACGGGTGGACCCCAAGCTGTCCATACCTGACAGCGCCAGGTCCTCCCGGAGCCGAATCTCGTGGTCCCCTTCGCCGGGGGCTTCGCCAGCGCGCCGCAAGCGCCTACAGACACGCAAATTCTGAAGGCAGCGCCCCCGACTCGTATCGCACCGAGGCCCCAGTCTGGCGCCGATGTGCCCCGGCTCAATCTCCGGCTCCGCCGACTGGGCACTTTCTGGGACGCCGGGCAGACCCTGCGCTCCGGTCCATTCCCGCAGCCGGGCCGTCCGGCCTCTGCGCGCGCACAACAGGCGGTACGGCGCAGTCCCCGGGAGCGCGGGGTTCCGGTGCCGGTCCCGGCGCCCAGCCACAGCGACACGGAACTGGGCGCCGGGGCCCGCCAGGGAGCCCTGTGACCCGGAGCTCCGCGATGCAGAGGACCAGGCGCGGCGCCCGAAGCCCAGGCGCGCAGTCCGCAGCCGGGACCAGCCTCCCGCCCCCGCCGCTGAGGCGGCCCCGAGTTCCACGCCTCCCCCGCTGCCGGACTCAGCTGCCCCGGGGCCTCGTCCGCCCGTCCCGGAGTGGGCGAGCTGCGACTCGCGGAGAAGCGACCTTCCCGCCGGTGCCCGATACCCAGAGCTAAGGGAGCCAGAAGAAGGCGAAGAAAGGCGGAGAGCGGGGCACTGCCTTCGCTGGGACTCGCGACTTCCAGAAACCCTCCCGAAACCCCGTCCCGCCGCCGCCCCGCCGGCAGGGGGCACAGTGAGAGACCGGGACGCGGCGACTGGGTGATGCGGCCAGCGGAGAAGCCCCAGACGCCGGGTCCCTGCTCGTACCTCGGAGAAAGTCTTGAGCACCAGGCGTCGGGCTCTCGGGTCCGCCCTCCGTGTCTTCCTGCCGGCGCCGAGCCTGCCCTGCTGCACTCAGCCCCCTGGCCCCTACAGTCGGAGGAGCGCTCCACGTCCGCCCCGCCCCCAGCCCACGCCTCCAGTCCCGCCCCCTGAAGCCCGGCCCCTGAGAACCCGCCCCCGGCCCGCCCCGAGTGGCGTCTGAGGCAGCCGAGCCGCGGGAGCGGAGCGCCGAGCTTGTGGCCCTACTCGGAGCTCCCACCCGCTCCGCCCTGGACCCAACCAAGTGTCCCGCGGAGGGGCGCGGCCACTTGGGGGCAGGAGAAAGCGGAGTAAGCCACCCCTCTGGGGGCCGGGAAACCGAGGCGAGCCTCAGCTGGACGCGGTGGTGTGGACCACGGCGATCAGGGCCTTTCCCGGTGCTGTGGAGACGGAGACGCGAGAAGATGCTGGCGGCGGCCCACCTTCTGGAAGAATGGCCCTCTCCGCCGCCCGCCTGTCTCCCTGGGGGCGCTCCCTCCTCAGCCGAGATGAGGTGGCCGGGGGCGGCTGTTTGACCTGAGCATCGTCTTACTAATGCGGAACGCCGGAGGGGAGGCCACTCCTAGAGGAGGCGTTTCCCGGCGGAGGAGGCTAAGTGAATCCACCTGCCCGCCCGCCACTCGGGACGCTGCGCCTCGTGGGTCTCACGCTGGACGGAGGGGGCGCCGCCGAGGAGGCCCAGCCTCCCCCTCTAACTCTGCCTCTCCAGTTCCTCAGGTAGACACAGCCTCCGTCTGCTGTGGTTTTAGTGGCCGTGGCCCCTTAGAAATTATTTTTTGTCCCCTCTCGATAGTGGCTTTGGGGTATGGAGGGCGAAAGGTGCAAAGGGCCAGTGGAAGATTTTTTATAATAAGATTGAAGCCAGGAGATGGAGGTTTCATTGCCCCCTCGGGGTCTGGGGAGGGGGCGAGCCACACCTCTCCGGTCAGCCTGCGCCCACCAGGACCTGCTGCTGGGGACTGCAGGCGAAAGGAGAGACACCCAGCACCTGGCCCCTAGACCCTCAGGGCGCTAACCTCCTGGGCCTCTGCCCTCCCAGGTTCCCGCTGACTTAGCTGACCGAATGACCCCTGGCCACCGATGGCAAAAACGCCCTCACTGAGCCCTTCGCTAAAGGAGTGAGGGGGTTACGTGTCTGGCTTTGAAAATGGGATGAGGAGACAAGGAGAGAGAGGAGGACCTGAGAAAGGACACAGTCCAAAATCTCAGAAGTCAACTTTAAAACTGCCCTGCTCTTTTCATCCAAAGATCAATATATGAAACCAGCTGTTACTGGTTAAAAGGGTACCTCTTGTTTGCATGGCAAAAGAAATTCAGTTTTGTGTTCATTTACAGCTGAAGCTGTCTTGAAATAGTTGCCTCCATCACAGCTTTTACATTTTGGGAACCATGCCTTTAGAACTGAATATTAGGAACTGTCATCTTTTATCTTTTCACAATTAACAATACATTCAACTCATTTCTGATAATCCTGGGCAGTTTCTAAGGATACTGTACTTATGTTTTAAAGTAATGACTCCATTATAGAAAAGAGAAGAAGAAATATGTTTCAATGACTGCCTTTTAAATTAGTTATTCTTCAGCACTTTGAAAGGCTGAGGTGACAGGATGGTTTGAGGCCAGGAGTTCAAGAGCAGCCTGGGCAACATAGCTAGACCTTGTCTCTACTAAAAATAAATAAATTTGCTGGGCATGGTGGCCCATTCCTGTAGTCCCAGCTACTCAGGAGGCTGAGGTGGGAGGGTGGATTGGCCCCAGGAGGTTGAGGCCACAATGGACTATGATTACACCACAACACTCCAGCCTGGGTGACAGAGTAAGACTGTCTCTGAAAAAAAAAATTCCTTATTCTTAATATACTGAAATTAAAAATTGGGTAGCAATAGTTGAGGACAGTATAGGCATTTAAAAATAGAGAATTATACATTTTTCTCATTTTTGTATTTTATATGCATCAGAATGAATGCATATTGAATACTACTTGGTAAGGTCTTAATTTGATGTCTAATGAGATAATCCAGCATTTCACGTGTAAAGAGAAATTAGATAAATGAATAATATATCTTGGAAAACAGTTCCTAAATCTGATTTATTTTCTGGTTTCATGAATCAAAATCTAACATAAAGAACAATGTATTGGTAGGCTGTGAAACATTGCTGCAAATATAAAATAATTAAATAACACAAAGAGCAATATATTTTGAACAGCTTTTTAAAAAAAAGTGTGTTTAAGAGTGGGCTTATTGTCCATAATTAGATTGTAGAAAAATTCACTACAAATACCACATTAAACATAGACTCTTAAAATATTTTGTAAACTAAGTACTTTATACTCTTAAAATCAGTTATATAAACTCCTGTAACATTGTCATATTCTGAAAGGATTGATTTGGAAAGTGATACATAATCTAATAAAGATGGAAGGGGAGCTGAAAAAGAATGCATTTTTTTTAGATATTTCTTATCACAGGACACATTTTTCTGTGCTTATTACATAACGCAATTTTGTGGGTAATAACTCAAAGTTATATTTTATTTTTCTTCTTAATGTTGGGATTTTATTTTCACTGATATGATGAGATGTTTTTCTAAATATGGGACATTGCCCACTAGGGCAACATTATTCTAAACACATCCTCAATGATTACTTTTTCCATGGCATTTAAATATTAATACAACTCTACATTTTTGCTCCTGTTTTTCTTAGGAAAAGATTATTCATTCTATGAATTTATTGAGTAATCCCATGCACCAGCCAAAGGGTTAGATTCGGAGATTCAAAAATAAAAATACTCCTTAATCTTATAACAGATTGGGTGAACAGACATGTGAGTTAACAGTTACAACATGGTTAGTGCTTGCTGTGATGGAGATAAGATGGAGGAATAGCTAGAAGGCCTAGGGAGGGAAAGCATCAGACATTCCCTGGGAACTGAGATGGGAAGGATGAACAGAAGTTTCCCTGAGAACAAGTTGGTTGAGACAGTGCTTCTCACACTTGGCAGCATATTGAAATTACCTAGAAACTTTCAAAAACTGTTGAAGCCTGTGTCTCAGGCATATGATTGGTCTATGATAAGGCTTGGGCTTTGGAATTTTTAAATATCCCCAGGTTATTTTAAGTGTAGGCATATGGCAGAGGACACATGGCAGAGGACACAAGCAAACAAGCACATGGAGCCATGCTCTTAAAGCGTGATGACCGTAGCCTTATTTTGAGAGGTGTAAACTTTGGTAGGTGGTATTTGTACATTTTGGTGTAAAGAACACAATAATATAGAAAATGAGATAAGAACTGCTGTAATTTACATTCCTTTAGAGCTATTTTCTAGACAACAGGATAGAATGTTGACAATTAAGATTAGCTTGCTGGGCACAGTGGCTCATGCCTGTAATCCCAGCATTTTGGGAGGCCTCAAGGTAGGCGGATCACCTGAGGTCAGGAGTTTGAGACCAGCCTATCCAACATGGAGAAACCCTGTCTTTAAAAAAATACAAAATTAGGCTGGGCGCAGTGGGCTCACGTCTGTAATCCCAGCACTTTGGGAGGCCGAGGCGGGCGGATCACCTGAGGTTGGGAGTTCGAGACCAGCCTGATAACATGGAGAAACCCCAGCACTAGAAGAAAAAAAAAATTAGTTGGGTGTGGTAGCACATGCCTGTAATCCCAGCTACTCGGGAGGCTGAGGCAGGAGAATCACTTGAATGCAGGAGGCGGAGGTTGTGGTGAGCTGAGATCGCACCATTGCACTCTAGCCTGGGCAACAAGAGTGAAATTCCATCTCAAAAGAAAAAAGATTAGCTCAGGATATTAGAAGAGAACAGTTATTTTTATCTTTTGTGTAATTCAGGGTTATCCAAGATTCAGAGTATGTTTTAATGCTGAAATGTAAGTTCTAGTCTGAGAAGTCAGTAATTTAACATATTGGTTTTTAAATAATATTTTTCCAGAATTAAATACCATTCGTCGTCGGCTGAAGGTCATAATAAAGAAATTAAGTTCATTTTTCTTTTTGGTAATTACTGTGATTCATTTTAAAAGCGAAACAAAATGTACTTTAAACAAACAAAATAAATGTAATTAAGTCCTACTTTAAGGTTTTAGATGTCCCTGTAGCTAATGAAAGAAAATAATCTCACATGGAAATTTAAATAGTCTAGTGACATAGTCCTGGTTTTTACTGCCTAACATTTAAAATGCCCTTTTTATTATTTTAGCTAGTAAAATAAAGTACCCAAAGAGACTTTAATGCTCAAGAAAAGTCAGGAAAATTGATTATGATTCATTTTATCCAGTTGTCTACCACATACCAGGAGCCCCTAACCAGGAATACACATAATGATTTTTCAGAGGCAGTATAGCACAGGGCTTAATTTTATTTACCAGTGTAACTCAAGATTTACTTTTACACAATTTATAGAAATACAAAGTTGAAAAAATTAAATTCATTAAATTATATTCTGATCATTAAATTTTGGGGAAAAAATATGTAAATGTAGAATAACTTGATTATCCAGGGTCAAAATTTCATTTTAATAGAATTTACAGGGACATACTTGAAGAACGACTTTATTTCCATTCTATTGGGACTTCAGTTTCTTTTCCACTCTATTGTGTCTATTCTATTAGGGCTTTAGTTTCACCACAAATATCACATTTACATTCCTTAAGGGCTTGACTACTCCAGATGTGAGAAGAAAGATTTGATAAGACTGGATGGGCCAGACCCAACCCCTTGCTCTTGGGAAGGTGTTGCACAATGTAGGATAGAGACCCCCTCTTAGAGAATTGCATTGGCATCTTGGAGTTGAAAGGCATAGCAGCAGAGGCAGTGCTAAGTTAAGAGTTACTGCTACTAACTAAAATATAGTTCAGGAATTATATATAAACATGGGATTGTTACGTTATGCCTGAGACTTGACCTCATATAGAAGACTGGGGATAGGAGAGCTCTAGTACAGAAAAAGGTCGAGCAGAAGGGTAAGACAAAGGGTGGATTCCCTACAGTATGAAACTTAATAATATATTATGTTTGTTTGTTATACAGTGGATCTTAAAGGTTCCAGAGTGATTTTGCAGCTCTGATTCTTTGATTACTCTCTGAAACGCTGGAAAACAAAAAATGCCTATCCCAAAGTTGGGAGGCAACTCCCTCCACTCCCATTAGGGTATAAGAGAGAAAAGGAAGCAGCAATCTGGTGACAGACTGGTTACTCTTCACTTATGCCTCAGGCATGCTCTGATTATCTGAGATAGCATTCTCAGAGGAGTCCCTTTCAAACACAAATGATAACATTATGGAGGTCTTGGATCCCTGAAGTTCTCTTCATTGTTTAATGACATCAATGTGTGCCTAAGACATACTGAACTGTAACAGTGGGAGGGGTGAACATCCATCTTCCAGAATATGCAGCTGGCTTTCTTGAGGATACCAACCAAAGTTCCACTGGGGAAAAGAATTTATGAAACCTGTGCATTCTGTTTTAATTTAGTTACCCTGGGTAGATTGTAAGCATAACCAATGTGCCTTTGAACTTGTTTTCAATTGCTTAGGAAAGAATCATTGGTAAAAGTACAAATAAGATATCCTAGGCTAAACGTGGTGGCTCATGCCTGTAATCTCAGCACTTTGGAAGGCCAAGGCAGGTGGATTGCTTGAGCCCAGGAGTTCAAGACCAGCCTGGAGAGCATAATAAAACCCTGTCTTTACAAAAAATAAAATTAGCCAGCCATGGTGGCTTGTGCCTGTGGACCCAGCTACTCCTCAGGAGGCTGAGGTGGAGGTTCACTTGAACCTTGAAGGTCAAGGCTGCAGTGAGCTATGATCATGCCACTGCACTCAACCTCAGTGACAGAGCAAGACCCTGTCTCAAGGAAAAAAAAAATAAAAGGCTCTGCTAGCTCTGGAATTTTATGAGAAGTTCACTGAAGCTAAAGGACTTGGTGCAGCCTCCAATGGACACCCTACCTGTCCATGGTGGTTTGGATTTGGTCATATAACAAGGTCCTGACATGCTAGCTATACTGACTGGTTTGATGAAAGGAAGACAGTATCTTGAAACACCTCCATTAGATCCCTGTTTCTCCTGTCACGTGATTCTAGGTTAGAAACAAAATCTGCATTCACTTTTGTTTGGCTTGGCTATGAAACCGAATGCCAAAAAATCTTAAGAAAGGTTTTCTGCAGGCAAGGCAGTGGTTAGATTTTTCTTTTTCAAGGGTAGTCTAATAAATTATTCTATTAGCCTAAACAGACTTTTTTTTTTTTTTTTTAATAAAGACGGGGTTTCACCATGTTGGTCAGGCTGGTCGTGAACTCCTGACCTCAGGTGATCCATCCGCCTTGGCCTCCAAAGTGCTTGGATTACAGGCCTGAGCCACAACACCCGGCCCTAAACAGACTTCTTATACTTTAGTTCTTCAAGGAAAGAACACTGCTAATTAGACCATGGAGACTGAATTAGAAATTATGGATTGGAAGACTGGTCTCAAAGGACCTCAGATTCAGATGTTTACATTTTTTTTTTTAGACGGATTCCAGGCTGGAGTGCAGTGGCGCAATCTCAGCTCACTGCAACCTCCACCTCCCGGGTTCAAGTGATTCTTCTGCCTCAGCCTCCTAAGTAGCTGGGACTATAGGTGTGCGCCACCACACCCAGCTAATTTTTGTATTTTTAGTAGAGACAGAGTTTCACCATGTTGGTCAGGCTGGTCTTGAACTCCTGACCCACCTCGGCCGCCCAAAGTGCTGGGATTACAGGCGTGAGCCACCGCTCCTGGCCAGATGTTTACTTTTGACAGATATGAAGGAAGGAAAGTGCTGGCCAGTAGCACTCTTTACTAGCTTTGGCTTTGAAAGGAAGACTGGGGGCAGGGAAATATGCTCTCTTTTTAAAAATATTTGTTATTCCTGTATAATTAAGCCAAACATTCCATGTGATTTCTTGAGCAGAAAAACACAGTCAGCATTATTAGTGATTTTCTCTTCTGAAAATAGTCCATATTGAATCATTTTGTCACACTTATACCCCAATTTCTTAAAGGATAATGAGGAGATACATTAATATTTAATAACTTTATGTACTATACAGACAATATACAAATCAATGTAAAATATTAGCACATCACTTATTTTTATAGCACATTTTACTATCTGATTTATGAATATGTTAACTGTCTCTCCTTTTAGAATTTAAGTTTCATGTGAGCACAGATCTAAAATCTGTCTAACTGCTATGGCCCCATTCATCTAGCATAGTATCTGGCATATATTTGTTGAATGAATGAATCCCATAAATTATATGTAAGGATGGGGGTTGGGGAGACAGTGAGAGAGAGAGAGAGAGAGAGAGAGAGAGAGAGTGTGTGTGTATGTGTGTGTGTGTGTGTGTTTGTGTGTGAAGGGTGAGGCAGAAAAAATTGAGATGCACTGAGATAGTAATAGAAAAGGATTTACATTTTTTGAGTAGCTTCTTGGCCAGATATCCAAGGTATTGATGAGAAATGATCTATCCCTTAAGAAGACTTGGTTGATTTGGACACCTTATATCACTCAGTTCATATAATGTTTATTTTTTTCAAGTATCAATATATGGTATAATCAATATTCTATGGTATATTTTATTTCTATTTTTAGCCTTCTCTCTGCATTGATAACAGTGCATCTAATTCAAATTTGGGAAGGACTGCCTATTTTTAATGTTCTGTGGATGTCGACTGAATACCTAAAATTGTCATTATTAATTTGGTCAATAAGAAATCATTCAACTAAAGATAAACTATACTTAACTATGCCCCTCCAGCTTTTCTTTTTCTTTTTTTGAGACGGAGTTTTGCTCTTGTTACCCAGGCTGGAGTGCAATGGCGCCATCTCGGCTCACTGCAACCTCCGCCTCCTGGGTTCAGGCAATTCTCCTGCCTCAGCCTCCTAAGTAGCTGGGATTACAGGCACGTGCCACCATGCCCAGCTAATTTTTTGTATTTGTAGTAGAGATGGGGTTTCACCATGTTGACCAGGATGGTCTCGATCTCTTGACCTCGGGATCCACCCGCCTTAGCCTCCCAAAGTGCTGGGATTACAGGCTTGAGCCACTGCGCCCGGCCTCAGCTTTTCAAGATATTAAGAAGTTTATTAGCAGGATTTTATTAGAGTGGTTATTAACCTTGCCCACAAAACATTTTGATGAAATACCCTTGGGAACAGAATAGTTTGAGTTGAACAAGGAAAAATGTGTGTCCTTGCCTCTATTTGCTCAGTCTCTGCCATCTCCATTCAAAGTTTAACTTAACCTTGTGTTTCCTGGAGCTGCTTCACCTCTGAAACGGCTGGAACTGGAAACTGGAAACTGCTCTGTCCACCACATCTGCCATTTGTCCACCATCTCCCCCGAGACTTTCAGTCCCCAAACCCCTCCCTGTTCTTTCAGTTTATTAGCTGTTTTTTTGGCTTGACTTCTTTCCTTTTCAGTTTAATCCCTGGGTAGTCTCATGTCCCAGTCCCTTGGACCCTTAATCCGGCTTTCTTAACAATCCCCAAATTCAGGTCAATTCAATCATCCGTTTTCTTACATTTTGCTTTAAAGACATTGAGGAAGCCTAAAGAAAATTAAATAAATGAGTTAATTAGTCACATCACCAAGACAACAGTTCTGTCCGTGGAATACTCATAGCTGTTGGGTCAACTTTTTATGCAACCCTGTCTGGCTCACTTTCCTTTTCATCACACAGTGACTGTTCACATGTTTACGGGGTTCCACAGGTCCCTCATCCCGCTCTGAAATTCTGCCACTCTCAATGATCAACTGAGTCTTACTCATGCTGGTCACTGGTCTGTGAGGTTTATAGGTATCACCTTGTTGAATCTTCACAACAGCCCTTTGAGGAAGATATTATTGCTGGTTTACAGATGCCCAAGGTCTTAAAATAACTAGTGATGCTTGGATCTGAACCCAGGAAATCTGAGTCTAAGCTCATGAAGCCCTTTGTCCCTAAACTGCCTTGCTTCTGGTACAGACTTGGTCAGGCATTTTCTCCCTAGAGCTTCAGTCCTCTCTACCTCCAGATTTTTCCATATCTTTCTCCTAGGCCATTCTCTCCTAACTCTTTTCAGTTAATCTCCTCCTACCAAATCTCTGTATCCCAAGCTCCCCTGACTCTTAGGGCTTTCTCCATCGTTAATTTGTTGATTCATTTAGCTGATACTTTTTAAGTATTTATTGTGTACTAGGTCTTAGGGACACAGGTAAACAAAACTTAATCTCTAGTCCTAGAGCTTTACATTCAGATTATTTCTCTTAAATATTTAACATCGCACCATGCCCTAAATGCTCTTCCTCCTACAGAAATGCTGAAGTGACTGTATATTTAATACTACATCTAGCACCACACCTGACAAGTCACCAGCTACATATTTGACAGAAGGACAAATAATTCCAGGTAAAGTAATCAAGGTTTGCAAGTTTGTTCTTGGCCTGTACACCTCTAGACTCCCTTTTTTTTTTTTTGGAGACAGAGTTTCCCTCTTGTTGCCGAGGCTGTAGGGCAATGGTGCAATCTCGGCTCACTGCAACCTCCATCTCCCAGGTTCAAGCAGTTCTCCTGCCTCAGCCTCCCAAGTAGCTGGGATTACAGGTGTGCACTGCCATGCCTGGCTAATTTTTGTATTATTAGTAGAGGTGGGGTTTCACTATGTTGGCCAGGTTGGTCGGTCTCAAACTCCAGACCTCAGGTGATCCACCCACCTCAGCCTCCCAAAGTGCTGGGATTACAGGCATGAGTCACCATGCCCAGCCTCTGGCCTCATTTTTCTAAAAAGTCGCCCACTTCAGGTATCCAAAACCCTCTCTCTCTCACTATGTTCCCTTCTGCTCAGACCCAGAAATGTTCTGAAAACCAACACTTTGCCATTATTGACTGACTAGTTGTACTTTCACTGAATCATACCAAAGTTACCTCAAACTAGTACCTATAGTTTAAGCCTTTTAATCTATGATTGTGAAACAAAAGATACATGGCCTTATTAAGAAATTTTAGCATCTGTAAGGTGGGAGATAATTGTGAGACAAGGGAACCTTCAAACCCATATTTTGTCACTTCTAATGGTTCTTGAGTAGAGGATGATTTTGCCCCTAAGAGAACATTTGGCAACGTCTGGAAGCATTTTTGGTGTTACCACTTCATGGAGGAAGCCAGGAGGATGGACAGTGCTACTGTAGGCTTCTAGTGGGTAGAGGTTAGGGATGCTGCTAAACATCCTACAACGCAGGGGACAGAACCCCACAACAAAGAATTGCTGCCCCGACTTGAAAGCCACTGATCCAAAGGGTGAACTCGACTGGAACATTGAGGTGCCCTGTGAGTCAGGGCAGGTAGTATCTGAGGATGCTGGCTGAGCCTGCTAAGGGTCTATTGAAAAGAGTTGCTGGAGGTGAAGGATCATGTCTTTGGGACCTAGAGAATGAGATATTTGGGCTCAGTTTCTGCTTCCACCCTTCCCCTAACTTTATTTGCATCTTCCCTCAGCCGCAAGATGCTCAGTACACATTTTATCTTGTCCTAGATCACCTTCTTTTTTAGTATGTAGAGATTTTGAGGGGAAAGGTAAATAGGAGACTCTTTGTCAACAGAGGTAGGATAAGATTTAACTCAATCCCAATTAAACAATAGTGAAGACCCAGAAGAAAAGAATTGTAAACACAACCTTTTCACCAAGTTAGCTCTTAAAGGAGGAGAACAGGCCAGGCATGGTGGTCACGCCTGTAATCCCAGTACTTTGGGAGGCTGAGGCGAATGGATCACTTGAGGGCCAGAGTTTGAGATCAGCCTGGTCAACAACCCCCTCTCTACTAAAAAAATGAAGTTAAATTAAAAAAAAATGTGTGTGTGTGTGTGTGTGTGTATTTGTGTGTGTATTAAAATTAGCTGGGCATGGTGGCAACACCTGTAATCCCAGCTACTTGGTAGGCTGAGGCATGAGAATTGCTTAAACCCAGAGGTGGAGGTTGCAGTGAGTCAAGATCATGCCACTGGGTGACAGAGCAAGACTGTGTCCAAAATAAGGAAAGTTATGTTAATACAGTATAAACTCCAAAATTTAACCAGAAGTTAGTAGATATTAGCTTTTACCATGGAAAATTATAATTACTTAAATAATATGCTAAATTTTATTTTTAAGTAGTGTAGTAGAAATGTATTTAATAGATGAAACTATGTGTGTTTTAAACAAATAGCTACTGCCAAATATGTAGAAGTAAACATTGAAATGATTATTAGGGCTATCAAGAATTGAAGAGTTTGTATAAATCAAACTGATCAGATTCATATTGATTAAAGCGATTTTCTTATTTTTATACTTCTATTGTTCATCATAACACTAGCATTTACAATAAAGAATATATAATATGAATTCAAATATACTCAAATTCTCATGAAGGCAAAACCCAAAAATAGTTGTCAATGGGATCATTAAACACCTTTTTCAAATATTGCCTGATTTTCGTTTAGACTTATTAGCTGATTGCTTTTAGACAGTGGTTTGCAAACTTGGCAATACATCAGTACCATTTAAGAACTGGTGACAGGGCTGGGAATCTCCAATTAGAATATCAGCAACAAAGTCCAAATGATTCTGATACCCATTCATGACATATAGGTAGTTGCCCTGTTGATGCTTATACTAAAACAAGTTTAAAATGAAGAGGCCAGATTTAAAATACTTCTGAAATGTTTAATTTGAAGCCCCAAAATGTAACTCTATCCCTACCTTCCAAGGAATAAAAATGTGGGGGAGGAGGAATATGGTAAAATGTGATTAGTAATCTTTGTGTCACAATGAGAACACTGATGTCAGTGCATCTAATGTTAATGGAATAACTAAAACTGTAATTACTAATTTGGTCAAAAAGAAGTCATTCAACTAAAGATAAAGCAATGGAACCTACCAGTCTTAGTGAATAACATAATTGCATCTAGTCCCCAGAAACTTCTACATCAATCTAATAAGGTATAAACGAAACGTAGTCTTAATTAACATTTCCATAAATATGCTGAAGGGCAGCTCAAAGAAAATGGAATACAGATTGAACAGGATATACAGCCATCCCACTTTCTACTCCTTCCCATTCATAGCTTGCTCTTTTGATGCTGCCTAATAGACATCTCTATATTTTATATATATAGGGACATATTTCATCTCCACTGTACTGACCCACTCAGGGCTTTGGAAGCTGATGCCTCATAGATAAATACAGGGTTGCATGGATAGATATTGTTTTATTCTATGAATGACACGTTCAAGTGATTTCTGGGAATGCAGTGCATTTAAAATAATGACAGCTGATCATTTATTGTTTACTATGTTTTAAGTGCTGTGCCAAGTTTAAGTTTATTATCTAATTTAGTCATAACAGCAACCTCATAAAATAGGTGCCATCATAATTCCCATTTTACAGATAATGAAACCAGAAAAAAGACAAGTTACTCAAAGTTAAGTAGTTCATTAATAGTAGAGTTTGTAATTATTTTTTCTATGTGTGAACTCAGCAGATAAGTATGTAAATAATTTTTTAAAAAAACAAAGGAAAAGAAAAAAGTCCCATGGAAAAAAATGGGAACACCTAGTTTTAATTCAAAAAAAAATCCTGACACTTGAAGTGTCTACTTTCTTAGCAGATAGTAGCTGATTTTCAGATGGCCAACTATGTATCAGAAAACTGGGAGAAGAATCCCAGATATGTTCCTGCTCAAACTTAGATATGCATATGGAACATGAAGGACTGGGAACAAAATTCTCAGCCCATTTCCAGTGGGTAGAACATTTAAAAATAATTATAGGGAATGACGTGAGGTCCTTTGGCAAGGAGTCAGTAGGGCAGTGTTTGATGACACCTCTTCCATTCCAATAGCATTCGCTTTACTGCTTGTTAAATTGATCAGACCAAAGAATGATCAGAGTTCTCAGATAGGTTGCTACACCCCTCTACATTCCATCTGCAACTCAGCTTTTGTCCTTCAGGTTTCTAATTGCTTCATTTGAGCCATACACACAGTATAAAAGAGAAAGTTGGACAATCCAGATCACAAATGGGCAGCTGACTGGCAGTTCCTGGAATCACCTTTGACTTCAATCCCTATCATTGCCTGAGCCAGGCTGTAAAATCTAGCATGGGACAAGAGCCTCCTCTGTCAGCTGTGGCTCCTGGAGCAGTAGCCCCGCAGTAAGTGTCTCCAGGAGGATTTCGAACAATGCAGAACCACCCACATCTGGAGGCTCCCAGTCTCAATGGCATGGTAAGGACAGAGTTACTTTTCCCACTGGCGTTGGAGATTGGGCACTATGCTGTCCTGTCTTACTCAGCTCATTACCCATGGAAAGAATCTGGCTTTTTTTTTTTTTTTTTTTTTTTTAAAGACAGGGTCTTGCTCTGTCATCCAGGCTGGAATACAGTGGTGTGATCATAGCTCTCTGCAACCTCAAACTCCTAGACTCATGTGATCCTCCCACCTCAGCCTTCCAGTAGTCACGTCTACAGGCGCATGCCACACTCAGCTAATTTTTAAAATTTTTGTAGAGACAAGGGTTCACTATGTTGTCCAGGCAGGTCTCGAACTCCTGGGCTGAAGCCATCCTTTCACCTTGGCCTCTCAAAGTGGTGGGATTACGGGCATGAGCCACTGTGCCTGGCAGACATTTCTTAAATCGAAGATGCTGTATTACTCTTAGCATCTTGGAGAACTCACAATAAATATCCTTGAGTTTCAAGGCATGCCAGTCATTAAAATCTTTGGGAGGTCACTGTGCTTCTCTGTCAGAAATAAAGACATTTTTAATTTAAATTAAAAAAATCTTTAGGGGGATCCAGAGAAGATGAGTTAAATTGGAATGGATTTGAACAAAACTGAATTAATTGGATTTATGGGTTACAGTCATGAAAATGTAAAGATATCAACTTCTTTTGTGAATTTATTCTTTATTCCTTACTTTCTTGCCCCCACTGTTTGTAATTCCTACGTTGTAGGAATCCCTCTTGTGACTTGTTATGCAAATTAACCAGGGAAATGTTTTCCTTGTTCTCCATTTCCTTTAAGTTTTTTAGATACACTGCATTGCAAGTATGTGTGGCAAAATTGTATCTGCGCTGATAACATGCCATTTGCTTTAGGTCAGTTACCTACCCTACCCCCATCTATTCCTAGCCAGGGATAGCACTCTTGTTATTCTTCCGAATATATGTGTGTGTGTGACTGTGTGTATCAACAGTGTGTTCCTAAAATAAAAGAATGACATATATTTGATATTATTTACATACAAACATGGGAGTGCATAAATTACAGAGTAAAATAAGTTTTTCAGGGATTTTGATGTAATGATTTTTATTTAAAATGTTTCTTCTTTTTCTTAAGTAGAATTTTCATCCAATTTTTAATTTTATTTTATTTTTCTTGAGATGGAGTCTTGCTCTGTCACCCAGGCTGGAGTGCTGTGGTGTGATCTCGGCTTACCACAACCTTCACCTCCCAGGTTCAAGTTACGCTCCTTGCCTCAATCTGGGATTAGAGGTGTGCACCACCATGCCCAGCTTTTTTTGTATTTTTAGTAGAGACAGGATTTCACCATGTAGGTCAGGCTGGTCTTGAACTCCTGATCTTGTGGTCCACCTGCCTTGGCCTACCAAAGTGCTGGGATTACAGGTGTAAGCCACCGCACCCAGCCTTCTGCCAATTATTATTTTTTTTTAAAAAAAAGAAGATTCATTTTTTAAATGTGAAATACATTTTTTTTTTTTTTTTTTTTTTTTTGAGGCAGGGCCACATTCTGTCACCCAGGCTGGAATGCAGTGGCAAGATTACAACTCAGTGCAGCCTTGACTTCCTGGGCTCAAGCAGTCCTTCCACTTCAGTCTTTTATGAAGCTAGAACTACAGGTGTACACCACCATGCCCAGCTAATTACTATTATTATTATCATATTGTAGAGACAGGGTCTCCCTATGTTGCCCAGGCTAGTCTCAAACTCCTGGGCTCAAGCCATCCTCCTACCTCAACCTCCCAAAGTGGGATTATAGGCATGAGCCACTGTGCCCAGCCTACAATTACCACTTGCTTAAAATGTTTAATGTGAGAAGATGGTTCAGAATGAATCTGGTCTTTTTTCTTTGCAGTGGCCTCACTCTTCTTTTCTTTCTCAGCCCTGTCGGGAAAGGGGCTCCCTGCTGTCTCCCCTCACCTCATCCTCTCACAGTGCTTAATGGGGACCTATAAACAACAACTCCATGGCCTCAGGGAATCAAGTACCTTACCTTGTAACAAAGAAGACCTTTCAGGGGTCATATCCCACATTCTGGCCCTTTTCCTCTAAACTTTATCATCAAATTTAACCTCTCATATGATGACTAACACTAGCATTTTATAGTTTTTAATTCATAGGCCTCACAAATTCTCATTTGCCTCACAAAAACAGGAGGAGGCTAGGCAGTACTGGGACTTCCTGAGCCATCTACAATACAAGTCAGCATTTCACATGGCTACTACCCTGTAGCTGCCCGGCCAACACAATTTAGTTACTGGCAGAAAAAAAATAGAACTTCAGGCCAGGAATATGGACAAAAGTCAGGCAGTGATCTCCACAAGCCTTCCTCACTGTGAAGGCTAAAGCAACTCCATCTTGGATGCTAATCTGCCATGTTGACTCATGATTAAACCTTTTCTGGGAAGGACTCTGAGATTTCCAGTTTATCTTTTGTTATTTGTGTAAACCCTGCTCTTAGTTCAAAACAACCTTGATGTTATCAAACCTCAATTGTCCTTCACATCCCATCTGAATCACGCATACTCTTTCCCTATGGTATATAAATCCTGAATCTGGGGAGTAATGGGGTGAGGATCTGCCATCTTGTCTTATCGCCACCTGTGGCCCAAGACACAGACACAACTTCTGCTCATAACTCCCTATTAAATGTTTCTTCCTAAGAAACTGAATTTGTCAGCCTCTTTCTTCCCCTTAGTTTTCTCGGACTTTAGGGTTAGGTTTGCAAAGACCTGGCCACTACAGAACTCACTCTTGCCACATGTGAGCATAAATAGGATGTAGTAAAGAGCTAGGTATACACTAAAGGGTTGTTTTATTGTGTTCTTTAGCAGGAAAATAAGAATGTTCCCTCTATGGAAAAGATAAATTATAGCTGCTTTACTGAGTGATTACTACATGTCAGGTACTCTCCTAAGTACTTTACAAGTATTTTTTTATTCTATCTTCCAACAAACCTGTGAAGCAGATGGCATTATTTATTTCTTGTAGTTATCACTTTTTAAAAATGAGGTAATGGGAGGCACAAAGAAGTCCTTCATCCTGAGTTCTAAAGCCAGATTCCGACCTATTCTGACTACAGAGAATATATCCTCAAAAGCGAAATAACATGCTTTATGGTAAAACTTACTTAAAACATTAAACTAAATGAGAGCACTTAAAACTTTTTCTAAATATACTTAAAAAAAAAAAAAAAAAAAAAGGATAACCAAGGGCTTTTACTGATATGCTGAAGATTTTGTTTGCCAGCACTTGAGGTTCTGTAATTCAGAATGGCATTGGGTCCCTGAATAGTGTAGAGCTAGACTCTGCCTGCTTTTTTTTTTTTTAAGAGACAGGGTCTTTCTCTGTCACCCAGGCTGGAGTATAGTACAGTGCCACAATCACATCTCCCTGCAGCCTCAAACTCCTGGGCTCAAACAATGTCTTGCCTCAGTCTTCAGAGTAGCTGGGATCACAGGCACACACTAACATGCCTAGCTTGCTTGCTTATTTATTTATTTGAATTGAATCGAATTTATTTTTGTAGAGATGGGGTTTCACTGTGTTGCCCAGGCTGGTCTCAAACTCCTGGCCTGAAGCGACCCCCATATGTCAGACTCCCAAAGTGCTGGGATTACAGGTGTGAACCACAGTACCCAGTCTCTGCCTGCTTAACTCTGGTAAAGAAGTTAAAGCCTTACATGGGAGGCCGAGGCAGGAGGACCGCTGGATCCCAGGAGTTCAGGACCAGCCTAGGCAATATACTGAGTCCCTGTCTTGTCTGGGAAAAAAAAAAATAGCAGCAACAGCAGCTTAATGACCAAGTACTACTCAGTAGCCTCTAGGAGAATAATAATCAGAAAATTGATTCTATTTTAGACCTAGAAAAAATATATAGATAATTTAATGTTTTCATTTTATAGATGAAAAAACTGAGGCTTGGAGCAGTTACATGGCATTATCAGGATACATATCACTAACTAGTGGCAGGGCCAGAATTCAAACCTGGCCTTTCTGACTGCATTCTCGCAGTTATACTAACTAAGCTGCTTCCACATTTGGGAGAGGAAATTTTCCATTTCCTTTTCCAGTGTTTAAAAAAAAGTCAAAAGCTAACATTTATGTATTTTACTAAATTTATCTAATTTTTTTGCCTTTGTTATAGACATTGGTAAATGAAAATGTGTTTTGATTTCCCAAAAGTACTTGAATTTCATGATTTTACATTTCCTACAAAGGGCCCAGACTCAGCAATTTAATTTTCATGGACTAAGAACTTTCATCAAAGCCTTTACCTTAACAAATAATTGGTTTGGGGGGTAGGAGATAGAGGTAATTTGGAGATATGATAAGCATTCCTTCATTAATTCACACAGACATGTATTGCATGCCTATTTTAGACACTGTGCTAGGTACAGGTCATGCAAATATAATTATGGCAAAGTTCTTTCCCTTGAGGAATAATTGTTTCCTTCCCTATTAGCAAAAAATTTGATATATTCTTGCTAGTCTTAAATTAGGTTAATATCTCCTAAGATGTCATAAGAGTATTACTTCTTATATTCCACATGATTTTAGGTGATAATGGACAAGCCCTTAAAAAAACAACTATATGCACTTCAGTGTATAAAGATGTAGTTATATAATCATTTCAGTGTAGGAAAAAAACAAAATAGTTCAAAAATCCATATTTGTGGATGTTGTATCTTAGGACATGGCTGATCATGCTATTGATAAGCTTTCTGCAGACTGTATGAACTATATGCATGATGGACAGGCATGTTCTGTAAACTTTCTGCTATCACATTTTTAAAATATGATGATATGGATTTTTGAAAGTACCAATGAAGTGGATTAATAGCATGGATTCTGTGTTCATCACTGCATTATTTAAAAGATACATCAAAATGTCACTTCTGAAAGTTAATAGTCATTTAGTATGTGAAGTATAATATACATCACTTTATTATGCTAATCACAAACAGTTCCAATCTCTCTCAGGAACTTATTTTTGGGCATTGCTTTTTATTATAATTTTATGGTTACCTTAAACTATGACAAATAACTATTTACTTTTTTTTTTTTATTGAGACAGATCTTATTCTGTTGCCCAAGCTGGAGTGCAGTGGCATGATCTCAGCTCACTGCAATCTCTGCCTACCAGGCTCAGGTGATCCTCCTTTCTCAGCCTTCCAAGAGCTGGGACCACAGGGACAAGCTGCCATGCCAACTAATTTTTGTATTTTTTGTAGAGATGGGGTTTCATCATGCTGCCCAGGCTGGTCTTGAACTCCTGGGCTCAAAAGATTTGCCTACCTGGGCATCCCAAAGTGCTGGTGTTATAGGCGTAAGCTACCGTACTCAGCCAAAAAATCTCTGATAATATGATTTAAAAAAAAAAAAAAAAGGAAGAGGGAGGAGGGGGTAGACAATAACAAACTCCCAGGCTCAAGTTTCAGAGAGTTTGATTTGGTAGATTTGGGGCTAAGAAATCTGTATTTAAAAAACTTTCTATCATGTAAAATCTGAAACTATAGAAAACTTGTTTAAAAAAATCCTCACATATCCCATTAGACTGAACAGTTATTAACATTTGCCTTACTTGCTACATCTATTTCTTTAGGTATTTTAAAGCAAATCCTAGACATCTTGATATTTCACATGAAATGCTTGAGTTTGCCTCATAAAAATGCCATTTTGTTATATAACAAGATACCAATATCACACCTAACAAATTTAATAATAATTTCTTAGCATTTGAAATTTCCATGTCCTCAAAATGTCATCTTACAGTTGGCTTGTTTGAATTCAGGTCCAAACAAGTTTGATGCATTACATTTAGTAATTGTGCAAGTTGGTTTTGTTTTTTAAAGAATTCCCCTTTTAGGAACCGGCATTTCCGGTGCGAACAGCCTCATCCACTCTCTCCCGCGGAACCTACTGAGCGCGGCTGCTGACCCAAGCCCTGCCGCCGAGCGACTGCGGCCGGCACGGCGACACCATGGAGCGCCCGGATAAAGCGGCGCTGAACGCACTGCAACCTCCTGAGTTCAGAAATGAAAGTTCATTAGCATCTACGCTGAAGACGCTCCTGTTCTTCACAGCTTTAATGATCACTGTACCTGTTGGGTTATATTTCACAACTAAATCTTATATATTTGAAGGCGCCCTTGGGATGTCCAACAGGGACAGCTATTTTTATGCTGCTATTGTTGCAGTAGTCGCCGTCCATGTGGTGCTGGCCCTCTTTGTGTATGTGGCCTGGAATGAAGGCTCACGACAGTGGCGTGAAGGCAAACAGGATTAAAGTGAATGTCACCTTTTGATAGCATTACATTGATTTTTTAAAATGGTAAATGCTGGAATGGGGGACATCTGATTTGAATAAAGTTAAAAGAACATGTTAAAGTCAAAAAAAAAAAAAAAAAAAGAATTCCCCTTTTACCTGAAACTACCATAAACCAGTACCTCAGTCAGGCTGGCCCTCTAAGCTTCTAGAAGACAATCCAGATGTAGAAAGAAAGGGTCATGGACATAATTCTTCTTTCACTATATTTCCAAGCTATATGGATTTATCAGACTATATTCTTTTTGGAGATCTTAGAAAGACAGGATGGGTGTGAGATGGAGAGGGTGTGAGATGGAGAGAACTGTAGATAGCTAAGAAACCATTTTTCTAAAGGAACTATGCATATTCTGGGCCATCTTTCCCCAAAATGTTTTTTTTTGTTTTTGTTTTTATTTTTTTTTGAGACAAAGTCTCGCTCTGTCGCCCAGGCTGGAGTGCAGTGATGCAATCTTGGCTCACTGCAACCTCTGCCTCTCAAGTTCAAACAATTCCCCTGTCTCAGCTCCTGAGTAGCTGTGATTACAGGCATGCGCTACCATACCTGGCTAATTTTTGTATTTTTAGCAGTGATGGGGTTTCACCATGAGGGTCAGGCTGGTCTTGAATTCCTAACCTTGTAATCCATCCTCCTCAGCCTCCCAAAGTGCTGGGATTACAGGTGTGAGCCACCACGCCCCAGAATATTTTTATAAAATGTTTCTGAGATTAAGTTTTTCTTTTCAAGCAGCTCAAGTGGTACAGCATCTCCCTTTTGGAGGCTCATAATGCACATTGAATATACTGTATTAAAGACTCTTTGGAGTTCCACAAAGAAATTTTACTCAGTGTTTCCCAAACATATTTGATTATGAAGTTGTGATCCATCCACAGCAGATCACCTTAATTAATATCTCTTGTGTATTAGTTCGTTCTTCATACTGCTATAAGGATGTACCCAAGACTGGGTAATTTATAAAGGAAAGAGGTTTAATTAACTCACAGTTCAGCATGACTGTGGAGGCCTCAAGAAACTTAGAATCATCGCAGAAGGGGAAGCAAACACATCCTCTTCACAGGGTGGCAGGAAAGAGAAGAGAGAGAACCAAGCAAAGGAGGAAGCCTCTTATAAAACCATCGATCTGGTGGGAACTTATTATCACAAGAATAGCATGGGGGAACCACCTCTTGTGATTCAGTTACCTCCCACCAGTCCCTCCCTCCACAAGTGGGGATTATGGGAACTACAATTCAAGATGAGATTTGGTAGAAGACACAGCCAAATCATATCACTTGGAGCATAGTTTGGGAAGAACATTGATCTATGCTAATATTATTACTACTTTTCTTAGGACACCAATCAGAATTTTTTGTGACAAAACACCTTGTAGTCCCTTTTTCTAGTTTTTCTTCTCACTCTTAGACCCTGTGGTATTAACTAGTATTTTTATTCCCATTCAAAGATAAGTGATATTAAGTACATGATATGAGCTGAGTAAAAAGCTACTGCCAGAGTTAGGATTTCATTTAAAGCCCTAAAAGTTGAAGACTTAAAATCTTGCTTGAGTTTTATTTGAGTTGTTAAAAATTTAAATAATCCCCAATTACCAGAATCTGTACTGAGAGTGTGGTAAAGAGAAAAGGTGATTTCACAGTATATTCTTCGTATTGGCACCTCCCATTCCCTGCCCTTTTACCACCTTCTCAACCTAAGCGTGAACAACCCTTAGATTCCTTAGCTTGATTCTAGAAGGAATAGAACTAATGAAAGTAGACATTCTAAAGATAAAAAGTATTACTTTTTCCTATTATGCTGACCATATAAACATTTGCAGAAAAAAAAAATGGAGTGTGAGACAAATGTTCCTAAAGACAGAGATTAAGGAGGCATCCACTGTGGAATCTGTGAATGTGTTTCTTTGAGATAATTCCTTCAAGTGCCCTTTAACTTCTAAGTGAGCCATTCCTTCTATATATTGCTCTGGCTTCTACCATGCAGAGATGCCAGGTGGTGGTGGGTGGCAATGACATCAGTAAAGATTTGTCTTACCCAAGGGAAGCAGAACTATTACTCAAAAAGTGTACCAGTTTAATTCTGGAACTTCTCAGTTTCTCACCTTGGGTAGCGAAACTGTTTCTGTGAATTTTCTCTGCACTATTTAGGCAAGTACTCGGAATGAGCAATCTTCTTAGTGGGAGAAAATCAAAATACCTTTTCAATAAGTAGGAATCTCACTCCTCTACATTCCTCCTGAAACTGCCAATTTGACTCTTGGTCCTCAGGGTTTGAAGAATGCACATACATATGACAGCAAAGTTTGGAAATGAGTGGAAGCCTTGTACTACAAGGCAGTATAATTTAGGTATAATAATTAGCCATTGTAAAATCCCATTGTTATGTTTTCTCATTAGTTGACATTTACTTGCACTTTCTTTCCCCTGCTCATTAAAGTTTATTTATTTATGTGTTTTTTTTAGAGACATGATCTCACTTTGCACCTAGGCTGGAGTGCAGTGGTGCAGTCATGGCTCATTGCAGCCTTGTCCTCCTGGGCTCAGGTGATCCTCCCACCTCAGCTTCCTGAGTAGCTGGGACTACAGGCTCATGCCACCAAGCCTGGCTCATTTTTAAATTTTCTTGTGGAGGCAGGGTCTTGCTTTGTTTCCCAGGCTGGTGTCAAATGCCTGGCCTCAGGCAATCCCCCGACCTTCGCTTCCCAAAATGCTGGCATTTCAGCTATGAGCCACTGCACTCAGCCTAGTATGTTTCTTCTTTTTTTTTTTATTCTCAGTTGGCATAGTGAAATAAAATCCAACTTGGAGCTAGATGACATGGGCTTGAATCCCAGCTTCACTTGCTATCTGTGTTACATTATGCAATTTGCCTACGCTCTGTGCCTGTGCTTCTTTACCTGTAAAAGGGTGATTATAGAACTATCGCAGAGATTATGAGTTTCGTGATATTAAAAATATGAAAATGTTTATTTCATATCTAGTATATGGATAGTTAACAAATGTTGGGTTCTTTGCTTTCCTCTTTTCCTCTGCATATATAACTTATTACCTAATCCCACCATTTTGAGAATAAAGAATAAAGGGCTTTCTTGATTTTGCTTGTTTGTTTTCTTTGAAATAACATCATAGGCCATGAGAGGCTTATCCTAAAGGAATCTACTTCAATTTGCTGGAGCATAGGAGGAGTTTGAGCTCAGGAATTCAAGACCAGCCTGGAAAACAGAGCAAAGCCCTGTCTCATTTGAAAAAAGAAAGTAGTAGTAGCAGCAGCAGCAAGCAGCTTAACAACCAGTAGGCTCTGGGAGAAGAATAATCAGAACTGACTCCTTGTTTTAGAGCTGGAAGGAAACATATAGATAATTTATTAAAATGTTCTCATTTTATAGATGAAACAAACTGAGGCTTGAAGCAATTATGTGTCTTACCAGGTTACATATCACTAACTAGTAGCAGCTGGCCAGCTGGCTGAAAGAAGACTGCTAGTCAGCACTTAGCCTCTGTGCCTGCCCACATCAAGTGCCATGTTTCCTTTTTACTTATAATTATTTGACTAACACAAGAAATAGTAACTAAGCATCCCTTTCTGCTTCTACAGACATCAAAGGGCCTGTTTCAAACTGAAAAGTAGACTCTAGTCACTGTAGAATGCGTATGTTCCCATTGAGTGAGTATAATTAAAGAGACAGGCAATAAAGAGTGTTGGCAAGGATGTGGAACAACTGGAACCCCCATACACTGCTGGTAGGAATGTAAAATATATTTTATTTTGGAAAACAATTTGGTAGTTTCTAAAAAAGTTAGACTCACAGTATGACCTAGCAATTTTGCTCTTAGGAATTATCCAACAGAAATTAAACATATATTGGCACCAAGACATGTATGTGAAGGTTCATAACAACACTATTCTTAATAGCAATTGAAAACAAATATCCATCAATTGGTACATGGACTGTTCAGCAGTATAAAGGAGTGAACTATTGATATGCGCAACAACACAGATGCACTTCAAAACCATTATGCCGAGTGAAAAAGGTAGATGTGGAAGACATAGTATATGTTGCCTTTTTTTTTTTTTTTTGAGAGTCTCACTCTGTCACCGTGGCTGCAGTGTAGTGGCATGATCTCAGCTCACTGCAACCTCTGCCACCTGGGTTCAAGTGATTCTGTGTCTCAGCTACCTGGGTGCACCACCACGCTTGGCTAATTTTTTTTTTTTTTTTTGAGACAGAGTTTCACTTTTGTGCCCCAGGCTGGAGTACAATGGCCCAATCTCGGCCTACCACAACGTCTGCCTCCTGGGTTCAAGCAATTCTCTTGCCTCAGCCTGATTACAGGCATGCACCACCATGCCCAGCTACTTTTGTATTTTTAGTAGAGACGGGGCTTCTCTGTTTGTCAGGCTGGTCTCAAACTCCTGACCTCAGGTGATTCGTTCACCTTGGCATCCCAAAGTGCTGGAATCACAGGATCACAGACATGAGCCATCATGCCCAAGCCATTTAAATGTAAAATTGGTAGAGACAGAAAGTACACTAGTGGTTGGCTAGGGATTGGAATGGGGATTGATTGGAAACAGGCATGAGACTTATTTTGGGAATGTTGGAAATGTTCTCAAACTGGATTGTGGTGATCATTACACAACTCTAAAAGGGTACTGAAAAATCATTAAATTATACATTTAAGGTGGATAAATTTTATAATATGTTAATTATACCTCAAGTTGTTAAGGAATATTTGTTGTTATATAATTCATAAAATGATCTTCTTCATAATAAAAGTAGCATTCAGAGACTGTGGAGAATATCATAGATTGTATAGAAATCTGCATATATGGCCAGGCGCTGGTAGCTCATGCCTGTAATTTCAGAACTTCGGGAGGCCAAATTGGACAGATTATGAATTCAGATGCTTGAGACCGGCCTGGCCAACATGGTGAAACCCCATCTCTACCAAAAATACAAAAAAAATTAGCCAGACATGGTGGTGCACACTTGTAATCCCAGCTACTCAGGAGGCTGAGGCAGGAGAATCACTTGAACTTGGGAGGCAGAGGTTGCAGCGAGCCAAC